AAGGCTCTGAATCCAAGCAGCAGGTTTTGAGAAGGGGAGAGGCTGCACGGGCGTGGGTGTTGGAGCGGGTGCGGGTGGGTGGACGGGTGTCTGGCGTTTACAAATAGCCTCAGATGGCTGTGGTGGCTCAGAGGCCCTGCTGGGCTTCGCTGGGGGTGACTAATCCATCTGGGCCTTTGCCTGGTGACCCTGCTCTGAGAGGCCTCTGGACCCCTTTGTCTGCCTCCTGGGCCTCCTCAAGCCCCTCAGCCCCCTGCCTTGGGCCCCTGAACCCCAGCCCCTCCCTCCCACCCCTCCCACTCCACCCCTCCCACTCCACCACCAGCTCACCCCCCCAATTCTAACACAAAAGGCAACTTTGTCTTTCAAGTCAGCAGCCATAAATCCACATCTCTCCCCTCTCGGCAGCCCCCTCTGACAAGTGGGAGCCTGAATGGGAGAGGTAGGGGATGGGGGGGCTGGATCCAGCTTGGGAAAGTCCCTGCCCCCAGCTGTAGGCCAGGCAAAATGGATGTCAGGCCAAAGGCCTGGCTGCTGGGCAGCAGTCTGGGGCTCTCAGCAGCTCTGGGCTGGGCTTTTACAATCCACGGGGAATAAAACCTCTGGAAGTCTTGCTTTTAATCCCCCAGCCCATAATTTGGAGGCTCCAGTTCTTCCTCCAGATCAAGCCATGAGCCCCTCCTCCCTCCAGCCTTGGTGGAGGGTGCGAAGCGTGCCTGGGGGCGTACGTGCGGGGGGCACAGCCTGCGCCTGCCTTATACAGCACGGCTGTGCCTGGGCGGGGGAGAGCCCTGCACTGCATTCAGCGGTGGCCTCTGAAGGCGGGAAGAAAGGGGAGAGGGAGGAAAGCATCTCCTATTCCACGTGCCCATCCCACCAACCCCACTGCCAGTTTGCAAAAGCAGTCCCAACTTCAAATACGTTGCCACTTTCATCCCACCTGTGGGGCAATGAGTCAGAGGGCTTGTCCTGGTCTTTTAGTCTGGGAAATACGATTGTGTGTCCTATTTACACAGCAGACCCACTGAGTCAACTGTAAGCATTCATTCAACAGATGCTGAATGCTCATGTGTCAGGCAGGATGCTCTGTCACCCAGGAGCAAATTCCCTCCAACCCACAAGCCCCGTCCTTAGATGTTCCCACCCAAGCTTCTGAGATACATCAGAAAAGTGAAAGCACCAGGGCCAGGATCTTAGGTACTGTCACAGCAATATGGCAAAAGCCATTGACAGGCAAAGGTTAGATATTACTTCTATCGCATAATCCCCAGAGTTGGGGACTACTAGCCCTTCTAAGGCTCAGAGAGATTAGATAACTTGCCCAAGGTCACATAACCAAGTCAGTGGTGTGTTAAAGGGAGGTATTTGAACTTATAGGGGTTTGACTCCAAATCCAGTGCTCTTTTCCTGCATCACAGCTGCCCTCAGTGGGGAAACACATATTCAAATGCTGGTCAAACATGACTGATGGATGATGCCACGGCCACTTGCACAGAAAAGCACAGAGGTGTACGACATCTCAAACCCTTACACTCTTCCTACTCACACTCGGACACCCGTTACACAGCAGACTTCACTTTAATTCCCCCCGGGTTTGGTGTTAGGTTTTATAGTGTGTAACTAATGCAGATAAGCACCATGATAAGGTGGTATTATCACCCCCCTAATGGTCACTGTGCCCACACATGTTTCTGAAATTCTATTAGCACAGGTGAATAAACAACCAAGATGCTTGTGGGTGGCTCTTCCCTGGGTACTTCCAACTCTGCCCACCAAGAAATCTGAGCTCTAGGGCCTTAAGAGCATAGGGCCTATGTAGGTTACCCTGTTGGGCTGTATAAAATACAGTGATTTATCTTCCAGTTTTGGGGAAGTTGGGGAGCAAAGCACTGTGAAATGCTAGTGACTTCTGTGGGGTAATGGGGTGGCCATGAGACTCGGATTTTTAAACAACTGGATGTGTAATCTTGGTAACATCAAAGCCCTTCTGTGAGTCTCTGTTTCATCCTCTGAATAATGGGGGAGTTGAGTTGGACAACTCTATGGGGTACAGAGTCTCATCTAGCTGCAACCTTTGAGGCATGTCTGCTTGCAAGCACCAAAGGTGCAGGGTCAGGGGCTGGCAGTCGGCTTGGAATCCCTCTCTGCGCTGGACTTGAAAATGTCCAGGCCCAGCAGAGCCCCTCTCCACAGACTGCGTGTCTCTGCTGGTGTCAGGGTCACTAATCTTCCTTATGTAAACCTGCCCAGTCCCACAATATCCTTAACTTCCGTCGTCCTGATCGGGACACCGGATCTCCCTCACCTCCCGGAAGGGCATCTGGTTAGGGGGCCCAGGCTGGAGCTATTAAGTAAATTGCTTTCACATGACTATGAGGACAACTCAACAAAAACAGACACTTCCCCCAAATTTCCAGAGCCATATATTAAGATTTGTAAGAACTAATATAGTAGAGGTTTAGGTAATGGAAAGGCAAGCTGGAATCAAGCTTGGCTCTGTCACAAATCCCCTATGTAACCTGTCAATTCTGACCTCAGTTTTCTCACCTGTAAAATGGGAGTGGGGCAGGATGGACAAGATAATCTCTAAGGTCCATACCAAAATTAAGATTCTAGGATGACACTGGGTAAAATGGTCCCTCTCCAACCAGGAAAGGACACTCTTCTCTCCTCTGCTAATCCAATCCTGTTTTTGCACCTCATGGCATGCTGGTGCTCCACAATCTCTAGGGGCCTCAACACCAAACTGCAACACAGCGAGACCTGCAGCAACTGCAGAATATGCCTTATCTGTTTAGGGGAAGAGGGAGGGCTACACTAGGCAGAAGGATCATGGAGTTTCTTGGCTGGTATGGGGCTGCCAACTCTTGGAGACAGACTTATTTGGGGATACAATCGCTGCCCTCTGCTGGTCCGAGATCTCTGAAAGCCTTAGGAATCATCTTTTGTAGAGGGTTTCTAAAGTTTTCCCATAAATAGAGAGGAATCACCACCCCACTCTCACAATGGAGATTCCTCTCCTGTGTCTCTTATTAACGGCCTCAGCATGCACTAACTGCCCAGGCTATAAACCAAGGAGTCACTACCCCACCCTTCTCCCTCTCTCTCAAGGCTAACTGGTCGCCACATTGTGGTCCATCTTCCCTTTTCCATTTCACTGCCTTGGCTCAGGCTCTCATCACCCCCAGCTGTTTCAGTAATACTCCCCCACCCCACCCCAACCCCAACCAAGCCTTCCCACTTCCAGTCCTTCCTCCCTCCTCTTCTGCCTCTATCCTGAAGCCATCATTATCTTCCTGAATATCCAATATGATGATGTAACATGTGATGTTTCACTGGCTTGAATCAAGGGTATGTTACCTGGGATGACATTCAAGGTCTTCATTATTAGGTTCTGTTTCATCTTTCAGCCTCAAATACCAGCAAATTCTGTCATCGCATGATGTGTACTCTGGCCATCTGAGACAAGTGTGCCTTCCCTGGACACGTCACAGTCAGTCACCCTTATATTCCTTTGCTTCAGCTGTGCCCTCTGCCTGGAACCCTCTAGACACCTCCAAATTCCACATCCGCCAAAGGAAGCAGAATTAATTCCTGCCTTGCCCCCAGCCCTTATCAGCTGGTATTACAGTCAGCTGTTCACACAGCGAATCCCTTAAGGGCAGAGCACAGACTAATTTATCTTACTACCTCCAGCACCTAGAACAAATGCTATGTAATAAGTCCTCGGGAGCTGCTTCCTGAATGCTAGCTTTTTTTTTTTTTTTTTTTTTGAGACAGAGTCTCACTTGTTGCCCAGGCTAGAGTGAGTGCCGTGGCGTCAGCCTAGCTCACAGCAACCTCAAACTCCTGGGCTCAAGCAATCCTGCTGCCTCAGCCTCCCGAGTAGCTGGGACTACAGGCATGTGCCACCATGCCCGGCTAATTTTTTGTATATATATTAGTTGGCCAATTAATTTCTATTTATAGTAGAGACGGGGTTTCGCTCTTGCTCAGGCTGGTTTCGAACTCCTGACCTCGAGCAATCCGCCCGCCTCGGCCTCCCAGAGAGCTAGGATTACAGGCGTGAGCCACCGCGCCCGGCCTGAATGCTAGCTTTAAAGGTCATACGGCCTTGGAGATCGTTCCCCAACATCTAGTCCTCCACCCAAGTCCCCAACCTGCCTCATCCAATGGCTATTACTTCCTCTACCTGAATCTCAACTTCTTCGATGAAAAAACGAAGCAGGCGGACTAGGCCCCTGGCTCTCAAACTTGGTCGTGGTTCAGAACAGCCCAGGGTGCTGCCTCACACTGCAGATTCCCGGACCCACCGCCAGAGACGCGGATCCACGGGTCTGGGCGCGGGGCCCAGGCATCTGCACGTCTATCAAAGCGCCTGGTGCGCGCGCGCGGGCGACCGTGGCGCCCGGCTAGGACTGGGAACCCCGGGCCGGCAGGTTCTCGAGGATCCGGATCGGGGCGGACGCTCGGCCCACCCCACCGCGCCGGAGGCTGGCGGTGCGGGCGGCGTGGCTCCGGCGCCGGGCGCCCGGCCCCCGCGGGGCCCCAGTGCAGGCATCCGGCGGGCGGGGGGGCTGGGGCCCGGGGCCCTGAGAGCCGCGCGGCCCGGCGGCGGGAGTAAGTGGGACCATCTGCTGCGCTCTTCGGAGGTCAGCGCTTTGTGTCAGGCTCCCCTCCCCCGCGCCCGCTCCCTCCTCCCCCTCCCCCGTGCCCTTTGACTCCGCGGCTCCACGAGGAGCGCGCCCGCGGTCCGCGTGAAGGCGCAGCGCGCTGGGAGCGGCCCGGCCCGCGGCCGCCTGGCCTGGCCTGGCCTGAGCGCGCCGGGCCCTTCGCGGCGGCCGGGCGGGCGGCGGGCCGGTTCCCACAGCCGGCCGGCCGCGGGGCCCCTTTGAAGTGGCCGCAGCTGCGCTCCCGCCCGCGCTAATCCGCGCCGACGCGGGCGTCCGCGCCCCCCCGCATAGCGGTGGTGTCCGCGCTGAATGGCGCTGGCTAATTACCTCGCTCGCGCCGCCGCGGGTGAATGAGAGAATCCGGCATTGTGCGCGGCGAATGGAGAAAATAAGACAGTCATTGTCCTGGCGCGCCAAACGAGGGTTTGATGTCGCTGGGGCGAGCGAGGCACCATTTCCCGCCACCCCCTCCCCCCAGCGGTTCGAATTCCCCAGCTGGGCCTGGCCCCCCGCGGACTCAGCTGCGGGCAGAGGGAAACTGAGGCAGCAGTTCCTGTCTCCCCAGGGGAAGAAGCCCTCACCCCTTCCGTGGAAGGTGGGCGACACACATTGCCCCGGGCTCGTTCCCACCCCTTCCTCCGGGCGCCTCACCGAGCCTTCCTCCACCAGCAGATTCTTAGGGGCACCTGCTGTGGTCGCCCAGTTCTGTCCTTGACTCAGGAACACAGGCACGGCCCAGGAACACAGGCACGGCCCTGCATTCAACGGCCTAATTAGATTTCGTTGGGAAAACAGGGAACAATTGGAGAACGAATGGGGAATGTATATATACCTTAGTGCTCAACTGGGTGCCACCAACCTGAAAGGACCGGAGCAGTTTAGAGAATGGCTGGGGGAGATGTGGGTAGCCAAGGCAGGAAAGAAAGAGTCAGAAAAGAGGAAGAAAGACGGGGAACCGTGGGGAGCCTGGGTTGACCAGAAGATGAAAACAGTGAGGGAGGCAGAAGGAAATGGTTAGAAAGGCGGGATCTGCAAAGCCAGGTCTCAGGATCTGGATTTACTGCCCCAAGCACTGAAGCCACCGTTGTGATCCTAGTTAGGTCTGGAGGAGAGCCCAGGGCTGATAGTAAGGTTGGAGTTCTACCCACATGCCCACAGAAAGCAACTCACCATCGGAGGCATTTCTGTTTTCATGCATAAGAACATGAGGTGGCTCAGCTTAGAAATCGATGAGAATTAATGATGGAGATGGACTATGATGCAGAGGGACAAGCGGATGATCACACTATCTCTGCATTCACGAGGTTCTATGTGACATCAGGCTGCCTTTTCACCATCACCACCAAATAAGAGAGGCTTTTTGAGGGTGTAGGAGAGATTACAACCTTCAGGATCAGGAAGTGTCTTATCTTTCTGTTCTATCCCTCAGAATACCCGGAAGCAGGCAGGTACAGGAGAGATGCTCTTTGAGATTTGTTGATTTGAGAACTGACATACTTTAATACCCCTCAATTCTGTATATCATTTTTTGGGGGAAACGTGTTACTTCCTAATCCCTTCTGATGGGCTCTTAGACTACTTCTGCCTAAAGGAAGGATGTTATTTGTATGTTCCAACATGCTATCAGGTTTATCAAATGATAAAAAGGTCTGATCTATTGCCCAGATCAATAGTAGGCTATCGGGCTACACAGCAGCCCTGAGCTCCACTTATTTGACACATATGTCAGAGCCCTTTCTGAGATTGCAGTATTTTCTAAGATCCATGTCACCACATTTAGATTGTAAACCCTTTGTAAGCAGCCCATAGCCAAGCCCTTGAAGAGGAGCATGCATCTATCCATCCATCTATTTGAGAATAAAATTAAAGAATGAACAACACACACTGAGGGACCTTATGAACAGCAGGCAAAGTGTCCCTTGCTCTGACCAACCGTACGTATTTAACATCACCAAGCACAAGTTTTACCAGTGATACATAAAAAGCATGCTTTTTAAAATTTAAGTATACCTCTAATCGTTTTCCTGACTCAATCCTGAATCAAGGTTTAATCTAACCGTGGTCATAATCTCAGATGTGATCAAAATGTTTTTCTTTATAATTCTCCTAAATCTTTGTCGTGGAGTCATATTTCTTCTGCCTAAGGCTCTAGGACCTTAAGCCCTCTTGGCATCCCAGCACCTGCTGCTGCTGACCTACTCCCCCACTTAGGCTTATCTGCCCAGGTAGTCAGTTTAGAGAACTCCAAAACAAAACAACACAGAAAGATAACAGCAGAGCTGCTGTGCATGGGGTCAGTGTGGGAAGCCTGCGGCCCCATCACTTTGACCTCCCTTTTGCCCCCACCTCTAGCCCCTGAGCTCCTTCCATAGAGCCAAGGACACTAAGGAATGATGCTTAAAGTCCCCTGTTCTAGAGAGAAAAAGGAGGCACCTAAGGAAACAACAGCTAGTTAGCAGCAGATCAAAGACCATTCTAGAGCTAGTTTTCAAACAGAAACTACAAATATAATCGTTACTATATATCACTATATGTGTGACTTTACGGTTTGTCCAGATCTCATGAGGGTGCCAGAAGGTATAATCCTCAGATAAATTATACTAAATACTTTGGAAAATGGTACATTCAAAGGGCAAGAGGAGCCTCCAGGCCCAAATGAGAGACCCAATACTTTTAACTAAAAAAAGTGCTTTTAAATGAAGCCTATTTCTTCTCCTATCTCTTCCTTCCCCAAACCCAAGACCATAAATAACTTTAAAAATAATGTTCCATGGGTTGGATTTTCTGATAGGAAGATAATGAGGATAATAATGAGAGTATATATTTTTCTCCCCTTATCCATTTCCACAGCAACATGCATTGAAAGGATGCTTTGTTATCATTATGGTTATGATTTAAAAGATAGCAGGAAGGCAGGCGTGCCCATGCAGGGCCAGTCCTTCCACGGAGGGTGCACAAGAAGCTCGAGGGAAGAGGGGTGCTTCTGGCCACGGAACCAGGCCTGTTAGCTCTTGTGAGGGGGAGGCCAGTGGTCTGGCATCCTGGAAATTTCTCCAGCTTTTCTGGGAAGTGTCCCAGCTGAGATGACTGAGTACCTCTCCCAGGGTGGCAGACTGAGGTTTGAACTCACCAGGCCCCTCCCATTCAGCACTTGGCAGGGCCACCTGTGGCTTAGCCTAATCTCAATCCTCCCTCGGAGGCCAGGGGCCAGAACTTGGAAGAAGGGTGTTTTGGGCAAGAGAATGGGATAGGGACATGGGGGTGCCCTTTATGACCAGAAGAGGCTGTGATAGAGGACTTAGGGTTCAGTTAGAATCAAGGAAATGGACGAGACCCTTTCATCTTCCAGTCAAGAGCAGCCAGACATGGCCACTCTTGGCTCCTAAAGGCAGGACTCAGAAGCCTGCCGAGAATGGCTCAGGTGAAGCTGTTCCTGTTGGCCCTTAGGGAGTGATCTGAGGCAGCTTTATCTGCCCTCCCCCAGTCGGAGTCCCCAAGGGCGAGTGACCCACAGCAGGCAGGGGGGCTCCCCATTCTCTCACCCTAAACCGACACTAACTCCAGGCCACTAACTCCAGGCCACGCTGTGCGGAGGCAGAGAGGAGCCAGCCCCAGCCCACAAGGTTTGCAGACAGTGGGAGGGGCGAGCTATGTAACTGCCTTCCAGGATAGATCCTGTCTTCTGATTCCCCCACCCACAGAAAAGCCAAGCTGGGCATAGAGCCCAGTGGGTCCTTCTTGAATTGATGGTGATAAAAGCAGTTTCACTTTATTTCAGGGAAGCCTTATCTCATCAATATCACACCAGCTCGCCTGTAATGATCTTGATTTTGTCACGGTTCGATGGGAAAATGACTGATGTGAGAAGCAAAATCAGAAACAGAGAATGGAATATCACACAGGCTCACTCCAGAGGCTCGCCCTCTGTAATATGATTATTGGGGCTCTGAGATAATGGAATCAAGGATATTTTAATCTGATCTGCAAGTGGGACTCAGTGAGCGCTTCTCTAAGGTGCTAGAGGATTGGAATGCAACCTTAAGAGACCTCGAAAATTAGGATAAAAGGAATTGCTGCAGAAAGAGGGTGACATTCCAGATAAGCTGGGATGTAAGAGGCAAAAATAACCTGGGTGGGGGCAGTGAAGAAAAAACAAACCATGTTTGAAGATGGCAGAAAAAGACCCAAGAATTGTCATTTGTCACAAGCCAAATACTGGGTTTCAATTCTGTAAGGTCTATTCAGCTCTGGCTCTGAAGCTGGAAACCCAAATCCCATTTGACCAATCAGCACATTGGAAAATGCATCCGGACCATTTCTGTCACAGCTCTGCGCATCCAGGACTTGGGACAAAGCCCTCTCTCTGGGCCTCCGTATTTTCAGCAGTAATGTAAGAAACACGGGCTAGGACAGGAGGAGGTTGGGGGGGGAGGGGAGGGAGGGTCTGGGTTGAGAGGGATGGGATGGAGGGGGGGGATGGGGGGGGAGGGGAGGGAGGGTCTGGGTTGAGAGCACTCACAGCACTGCCAGGGCACAAATGCCCTTCTGCGTTCACATCTGCACATCTGCCGTCCTAGAAAGGCCCAGTCTGCTTCCTTTTCCTCCTGGAGTTGGCCCATTTCGAGGTGTGGCCCCAGAGATAAAAGCAAGACTTTTATCTCGCTCTAGCCCCTTGTCAGAAATCCCTGGTCCACACCCCAAGCCGGTAGGTAGGGAGGCAGTGGGGCTGCAACCTGAGATTTTCCCCTCACTCTCCTCGCCAGGCTCCCAGTGGTGGGGGTGAGTTCCTTGAGTTTCCAGATGAAAATGCCCCCTGACCACAGCAGCCTCGGGGAATAATGACCCCGAGGCACCCATGCTGGACGCCGGGAGCCGGGGAAGCAAGGACACACGTGCACACCCTTGCACACCCATGCATGCCTCACTCACACCCACACGGACACACTTGGCTGGGCGTGGGCGCAGTGACTTTACAGCTACCACGCTGCACGGGGTTAATTGCACAGGAGTCCACTGCAGTACTGGGGGTGGGGGTGTCCTGTCCCTGTCCCTGCCAAGGAAGAAGGTTCATTTTCTTTTGGGGAAGAGGGACCAATTTTGGAGCCAGGCTGCTCCCAGGCCACTCTCTGTCCACCACACCCGGCCTAGCGCGGAGAGCCTGTCAGAGAGCCTGGTGCGGTGGGAGGGACAGCCACCACATGGCATCCTGGAACCCCTCTGCCTCCGCCCTTTGGACGTGTGCACAGACAGCGTCCGGGAAGAGAAAGAGGAGAGGATGACAAGAGAGCTTTTCTCAAAACTTTCATGCTGACATTTAAGAAAGGAGGAGGCCAAGCCCAGTGTGCCGGGAAGGGAGGGAGAAGGAGGGAGGGAGGTGGAGGACTAGCTGGGGGGGCTGGAGGGAGGCAGGGCAATAGTAGGGGTGGGATCCCAGAATTTTAGAACTGGGAAAGGACTTTAGAAACCTTTTAATCTGGTCCTCCCCACACCACCTCCCACCCACGAGGAAGCTAGAGGCCCAGGGAGGTAGGCAGATGGGTCTGAAGTCACCAACAGGTGAGTTGAAATTTTACATTTTAGAAGCAGCTTCATGTAGAAGTGGGAGCCAGGGAGGGGGCAGAGGTTAGCATGATGGTGTCAGGGTCAAGTCCAAGCTCCTCCCAAGACTCTCCGTCAATAATGCTGGGGCCAGAGGAGGTGTGTCCCCTCCAAGCCAGCCCAAGCCAGCACCTCCGGTCTCCAGGACTCAGGCCGCACCCAAGCTAACACCAAGGCCCAGGAAGCTGGAACAAAGTGTGCCGCCACTGGCAGATGGGGTGGCACGATCCTGCACTCCACAAATGTCTGGACCCTACTCATCCTCTCTCCTCCAAAAGACAGGCAGGGCAGGGAGCTGCTCTCTCCTGTGTTCCACAAAGACAAAGGGCCCAGCAGTGCGAAGGGAGAGAGGGAGCTTGAGTCCTCAGTGCGGGACAATCTGCATCTCGCACTGGCTGCAGCAACAAGAGGTGTCTGTAGTTCCACCACTGTCCTGTCCCACGTGTGCTGCAGGGAGAGAGGACATGGGGTTTTACGGAAGTGAGAGCAGTAAGGGTTTAGGATGAATCTAGTACGCCCTCGATTTTTCCCCAGAAAAGCCGGCAGAGTCTTTGTAGACATAATTGCTGGTGGGAGAAGGCTAGCCAGGAATGGGGAACAAGGAAAGGTGCTCATTGCAGACAGGGTCACAAGCCTGGGCCCATGTCCTTGGAATTATGAGCCCCCAAAACCAAGGGCCTTCAGGCTGGGGCTGCTGGTGGGCGCCGGACTGATCACGAGATGCCAGGGAGCTGGGAAGTGAGTGTGAAGAAGATCTGAGCACCCAGGACTGCCTGCTAGATTCCCAGGAGGGTCTGCTTTGGTGTCCCTGGAAGCAATGGTCCCCCATCCCAGCTATCACCCCAGAGATGCAATGTCTGCTCTGGCCCAGGGTCTCCCAGCCACAACTGCTCCACTCCCCTCCCCAGTAAGGAGCCCTGCCTTGTGCTTGAGGCAGGCACCCTTCCAGAGGGCTGCTCTGTTACCCTGCAGCCTGCTGTCCACTCCTTTGTTCCATGGTGCAGAAGGGCAGGGGACCCACTGCAGACCCCTCCTCTAGGTTGGCAAGGGAGGAAGACTCCCAGCCCCTACGGCGGACAGGGACTGTGGAGGAATGTAATTCTGGGAGGCCTTAGGCCACTTTGCCCTGGACACTGTGCTATTGCCCAGGCAAGAGACAGGACAAGGACAGTCTGCACCTCCACTCCGCCAGGCTGATTATGGCTCTTTCCTACCACTCCTCCCCCAAGCGACCCCTGGGGAGAAGGAGCCTTCTCAATCCATGCCAGTTCCTCTCCTGTGATTTGTTCTGAATTTTCAAACAAAGAGTAATTATGACAGATGTGGAGCAATCAGCATCATTATGCTGGGAAACAAGAAAGGGAAAGGAGCAGAGAGGACCCGGGGGGAGGGGAATTTGTCTTCCTTGGGAGGAGGCAGCTCCCACCTCCACCTCTAGCAGCCTGGGCAACCTCCCAAGTTCCCTTTCAGCCAGAGCCCCTACCCCACGGCTCTGCCAGGCCTGGCAGGCAGGGCAAGCCGGCATCTGGGACACCCCAGCAGTGGCTGGGGCTGGGGGGAGTGTGCGTGTAACCCCGCGGGCCCACCCAGAAGCGGCTCCCGCCTTGGCCAGGGTTCTAAGCTGTTCTGTTCCCCACCCTTTTCCAACCCTGCCCTGCACGGCCCCCAGGCCTGTGCCTTATTGCTGAGGCACTAATACCAGGTATGTTCTCCAGGGACTTGAGCCTCCTCCAAAGACACTCAGGCCAGGGAACTTTGGGTCAGGCAGCCTCGGGTTTAAATCCCAGCTTCCCTACTTACTGTGTACCCTTGGAAGAGTTAATTAATCATTCTGGGCTTCTATTTACCTATGTGTAAAATAGGACTAGTAATTCCCATTAATGGAACTGTGGGAATTAAGTAAATTAACACATAAAGGGCTCAGAACTACAATGACATCTACTACCACTGGCTAGTTCGCTGTTGGCACCAGTGCATGGGCAGCCCTTGAGCCTGCTCAGCTCAGCACCCAGTATGCTTCGGAGACTCAGGCCCTCTGCAACATGCCGTGGATGTCAGGAGCCCACTTCTAAGGCTGGTGAGCAAGCCCACGCCCAGAACTCCAGCCACAGACAAAGCAGGGCAGGACAAAAGGAAAACGGAAACATGCACACCAGCCTACCCCGGGGCAGTGAGGAGTGAGGCTGGGGAAGGCACGGTCCAGAAGCCTGATAAATGGGACAGGCTCCCGCAACTGCACAGACTGGGGCCCAACCACGTCCCTGGGCAGGTTGATCCCTCAGGGCCTCAGTTTTGAAGTCTGTAAAATGAGAAGTTTGGACCAGATGTGTGCCAAAGTTTCTCCTGCAGCTCTGATCCTACCTGGAGACGGGGAAGACCTCTTGGGTCCCAAGGGGACTGGGAATTTTAGGATTCTTTTGCCGTAGCCTCCAACTCTGAAAGGGCTAGAACTTGGGTCTCTCTCCTGGTGGTCTGCCCCCTCCTCTCCATTTAGGTGGTCTGCTCTCCATCTGCCCACCCCAAGTCCCCAGGGCCTCTTGATAGTCCCCCTCACATTCCAATGGCCTTGGGGGCAGCAGCCAGACCAGAAAGTCCAGTTCCTGCCCATTATCACTGCTTGCATCTGCACTGCAACCTAACACCAGCATTCCAGAGAGCAGCGGGGCTGCCCCCACCACCCACGGTGGTCAGTGTCAGCGTCCAGGCTCAGAGCCGGGCCCAGCCTGTCCAGCGCTCAGATTCCTCTAGGGGAAGCTCTGCCCCCAGGGAGCCTCCAACTTGCCAGGGAGGCTGTGGCCCTTCCTTGGGGTCCTCCTCTCAACGTCATCCTCTCAGTCGCTTTTCTCCTTGCCCTGGACAGAGGGCCGAGCTTACTTACTTCTGCTCCTGAAGTGAGGGCTCCCTTCTAAGCACAGCAGGAGATGGTAGAGGAAGAGGAAGG